GCAGTTGATATATTCCTATTAGTATTAAGCCTTTTATTTTCAAATTTCCTAGAATTACTTTTATATTCATTACCAAAATTATGATAATTTTCAGTTTTACTACTAAATAAATATGTCCTTTCCCTAGACCGTATCTCTTTGTCTAGAAAGGTAAATAGATCCTTAAAATTCCAATCACTATCTGGATACGCTCTATTGAATTCTAAAACAAGTTCCTTTGGAATTCTTTCTAACAAAATGGAAATCAATAAAGTGCTGAAAGATTTTGTTTCAACTCCTAACGACTCTAAACTTCTATTTGAGTATCAGCTTTGTCAAAAACTTCTCAATCCAGCTAAATCATTTATACTTCTAATAATAGGAATTTTAGTAACTCATTCAAATGTGTCTGTATAAGAGTATTCTTATTACCAAATCTACCTTTTAATATATCCAAAGCAGAATCATAATTTTCTTCTGTTAACGCAAAAACCACTTATACAATTAGATGCCGTACCCCCTAAATATGACCTTAAATAATTAAATTTATATCTTGGTAAGATTACTGTTATATGAATAGCGCTTTCAAACTGGTTATAAATTCTAACCAAGAAGCAATCACCATAATATTTACTGATTATCAATTTAGGAAGTTTAACTGTTTTGGTTTCTCTAAAGGTTTGGTTTCTAGTGTACCTTGAGCAGTTGCGGGAATAGAAAGGATACTTACTAATATTCATTTCATCTTTCATTAATCTATCAATTACATTAGTTATCTTTTGTTTCCAGAGGATAATTTTTTCTGAATATTCCTCTGACACAGTAATTTCCTCTTCTATATCATCACAATTACAAAGATTTTTCACTTCATTGTTTAATTGTTTTAAATTAGTTTCTTTATCTATTATTTGGGCTCGAAATTCCTTTAAAGTATCTACCTTATTCGTAACATCTATCTCGCTAGAATCCTCCTTAATTAAAGCTTCAACTTTGTTAATTTAACATAGTTAACCTAGACCTAACCACGCTACGCTCCTTTCTCAACTTAGGTAATTCCGACATTTTACAACAATTCAAATTTCAAACAAAACATCAAAAAAAAGCCTGCCTTCACTTCCTGCAAAATTCCACAAATTCCCAAACAAAGCTTGCAACTAAACCACTAGAATCCACAGCTTCCGAGACCGACTCTGTCTCCTCACTGGTGGCCCCAAAAAAATGTGAAGTATGCTCCTTCAAAATTGCTCCACATTTTAAATAAATACATTTAATTACATTATATTACATAGTACAGTTACATAACAAATACGCGTTACACAGCTCTTCACACTACATTCTCAAAACCCACGCCAACTCTCTCTCAAATCGAAACTTTTCTCACACAGTTGAGGGTGCTACAACGCCCTCTATGGGAGATCTCGACAAAGGATATGCCTTTATCCATTTTTTTGCAGCAATTTCACTTTTTGTTTGATGGACATTGAAACATACTTTTGCTTTGTAGATCCTTTGGGAGCTCCAGCATCGGAAATTCTATATGACATAATCGAGAGTTTAAGCTTACTTTTATAAAATTGCTCTAACAGTTTGCAAAAAATAATAAGCCAATTCAAAGATTAAGGAACAACGCAATCTGCAACATTAACTGAAATAGACAATCAGATAATTTTAGCTTATACCGTCCATTATACATTTTCTAAAAAATTTTCTAAATATTTTATATGTAATAAACATTTATATAGTAGCATGAGTTTTTAAGTCTCCATACATACAAATTTTAAATAGGTCATTTTCTTTAATGCAGCTGGAGAAGAAGGTTCTGTGGCAAAACTTTTGAAACTAATAATGAAAGTTTATAAAAATTAACATTGACTGCTGTTGTTTGAACTTCTAATGCTAAATATTCAAAATTCTGTATCTAATAATATTAAATTTTATAGAACATTTAAAATTAATATTTTGACACTGGTAAATATATAATTATGAATTTTTTCAGGTCTAATTTTGCATATTATGGACCCTAGCCCCTCCCCAAGAAAAATGATCTTTAAAAGATTAAGAAATAACTTATTAATTGAAACTTTCTTTGATTGTGTTTGAATCATTTCTTAGCCAAAATTATGGGTGTACCACTAATTTTTAAAAAATATTCAGTCGTACAAGTTTTAAAACACTCTATATAAGATCTTTCCTTCCACAATTCTGTTTGCAATGATCATTTCTCTTGCAAAGCCAATACAGTCAAATACCAAAAATCCGCCGACCTGAAATCCACGTTGCCTTTCAAAATATAAACATTCAGTGTATATGTTCCGGAAACCGCAACATTGAGTACGAAATATCGAAGAAAAAATACTTACCGAATAATAATGAGCCATAATGGAAATACCAAATTATTGACATCATGATAAAAGTTTTTTTCCCTCTAATCTGTTTCGAGGTAAAAAAGCAGACGATTCACTCAATTCTTCTTTCAAGTTCACGATTCACGCTGTTGTACTTTCTGAGCTTTGTTATTTCATAAGATTGTTTAGTGCTGCTTTTTTTTAATCCAGATATTTTGTGGATAAATTAAGAATATATTAAAAATTTCAGCCCTTTTTAATACAATTACAGATAAGAAATACATTCATACATACAACGTTGAAAAACGTAAGCACGTTTCACTGACTGACGGTAATGCAAAAAGTGCAAATTTTGCAAAAGATTGAGGCAGGTGCTACTCCTCGGTTTATAGCAGAATCATATGGAATTGCAGCACGATTGTGTATGATATACGGAAAAATAACGAAAAGCTGTTGAAATTTTACAGCAACAGTGATTCTAGCACTGGAATCCGAAACCAGAAATCTTTGCATGAGGCGAAATCGGCAAACCTCGATGCTGTGTACATATAATACAATGAATAATATAATCAATTTATATATGTAATAATAATTTAATGCATGTAATAAATTATTACAATAATGTATATAATTTGATTAAATGCTTTGTGGATTTCGACTTCTATTGTATTATAAAAATCTAAACAAGAAGAGGACTATATTTATATGTGATACCCTTATAAAAGTTCTTTTAAACTAATTTTAAAAAAGATTTATGTGTTAAAAAATTAAATGCAGAGCAAAATATAATATTGTTTTTGTCAAACAGCCTAATCAAAGTAAGATATGTGATCACATAGGCTGAGCCATATTCTATTTTGGTTAGCTGATCACTAACATTTCAATGGTGTCACACATATCATCTTAAAATTCGTATTCTTTACTGCACATCATAATCACACCATATTAATTTTTCTGCCTGCTTTATTTTTGTCTCTCATGGTTGCCAAGTTTACATTTTCTTAAATCTTTGCATAGCAATAATGCTACTTTGTTACAAATAAACTAATTCTACAAAAATAATAAAATTTTGTAATCTTTATCTCGATGAGCATCATTTATTTAGACATTATGGTAATAAAATTCAAAAACTTATAGAGTACCTCACTTTTATTCTGTTAGATTAAGTGTCAAGGAACCTAGTGAATTGTTATGTAAATTATCGCTTAGTTCAAAGGACAGAGATCATAAATTCAAGAAGAGTAAATTACTCTTTATTTACTCAAAATAAGATTAAAAGTCGGCCTCTTTCTTAGGGCTTACAACAAAGCCTCCACTTGGGCTTAAACTGAAAAGTAAGAACTAATTATGACTAGCTAAGAGATTTAGTCAAAGCTAACACAATTCTAACATATTTGGCCCGTAATCTAAACTAGCCGGTGAACTATCAAAAGGCATGTAATACTGTGGCCAAGCATAACAACAGCTTAGAGAGACGTAGCACAAAGGCAAACGCGCTACTCAGGATTCTTAACTCTCTGTCTTGAAATCAGTTGAACTTTCCCTTACTATCATTTCTTCCTCATTTGCATTCAACGCGATTCTAAAAACTCATTCTGGTAGGAAGTTGTAAGTCGAAACGAGGTAAGATAGAAAAGGTTCACTAAATTAAAATAACTGTTATAAAATTAAAATATACCTTACAAGGGAATTGAAGTTGGGGAATGTGTGATCAAAAATAGTACCTGTTTCTCAGATTGCTTCCGGAATGGCCATTGCTGTTGAATAAACAGGAAAATTCTGCATGAAAGCTGCAGATGGCAAAAGTCTATGGCAGAGAGATACCTAAACACTAATAGAAAGTTTTATTCACAGCTAATGAGAAGAAATGAAGCATGTGTTCATAACTGTAACCTAAAACAATAAAAAAAAAAAACATTATTTGGAAACACTGTGAATTCCTTTAATTTCATGAGCTCATAACCCAAATAACTGTCTGGAAGGTTATGAGCACCAGTTTTTGTGATGAAGAAGGACTATTGCATATTGCTTTTAATATTAAAAAATGTGAAGATGATAAGAATTTCTAACGCTAATCTATAGACTAATCAGAGTGTAGCCTAATAAGTTTAAAAACCATAGCACATTTAGCAGAAAAGAAGTTTTCTGTATAGGAATGCTGCAGTACACAACACTCAGATTTTCCTGTCTGTTACTCAGCAGTGCAAATTTCAGCTTTTGCTTCTCCATATTCACGAGACCAAGTGTCTTCTTGTTTTAAGAACTGAAGAAGCATTTTTGTGGGTCATATTACAGCAATTATGATCATCAGAAAGATACCAATTAGTAATATTTTGAAAGCTGTAACAAAATATTTCTTCTATTGGAATCCTACCTTTGACAGATTGTTGTGTTAAGAGCATTGAAGTCAGGAGGAGCTATGTAGAAAACTGAGAAAGTAATTTTATTTATCTCGTATAAGTGTGCTAATCTTAAAATTTATTGAACATCCTAGTACTGTCTTTCATCTTCTTTGGGTATTGAATGAACTTACACCATGGTAAACATATCTAAACAATGTTCTGGGTGATGAGACAGTTAAATGATAGATGAATTTGACCACAGTTCACAGTAAATACTTTTGGATTAAAAAATACTTTGTATTTATGTTTTATATTTTTTCTATGTTCTGTTTAGTTCAAGCAGTTTTTACAAATGTTGCATCTAAATATGATCTGATGAATGATGTGATGAGTGTGGGAATACATAGACTCTGGAAAGATTATTTTATTCAAATCCTTTCTCCAGAAGAAGGAACTCAGCTACTAGATGTGGCTGGTGGAACAGGTAAGGATCATTTATATAATAAATCATTACAATAAGCTGTAAATCGCTGGATATAGATCAGTAATAGTAAGTTCAAAATATTTTAAATAAAAATAAATGTTTGCTAATATATTGTTATCCAGATTGAAAGATCTCACTCGAATCTTGGACCTCTAAAATATGTGTCAAGTATGCTTTCAGTTACAAAATGAAGGGCATGTGGGGAGGAAGGAGAAAATAAAAATAAATAAAAAAATTCCAATAATTGGGTTGTCATTTCTGTATAGGCAAAATACATTTTGATGCAGGTAAGAGAATTTTGTTTTTATTTTGACAAACAAAAAAAAAAAAACAAAAAAATACCGTTACAAAATTTTATTCAATGCTGGTAAAATTTTAGAAACAGTAACAGTTGACAACTGTTTAGTAAAACAGTTGACAAAATATTTAACACTGAGTATGCTTTTAAAGAAGTTTTAACCTTAGGATTCCTAAATGGAATCATCAATTACAAATTTGGCGGTCCTTAAGAGTCCTTGGGTTTTTGGAATCGATTTTTGGTTTTTAAAAACCTTAATTTTGGCCAAAATCGGCAGAAGGTCCTTAATTTTAATCATCTGAAATTTCTGTCTGTTTTTATGACTGCCATTTTTAGTGTGAATTAGCATTTTAGAGGAATATTTTTGGCGATTCACTGACATGTGGTTATCTTTTGAATGGGTTCATGGGTTATAATTTGTTCCTAATTCTAATATAAATGTGAGATACTCGAGTTTCTAAGTAAGAAGTCAAACATTAAGCAATTCAAAATTAATTTCTTTTAATGAAGAGCTCTTAAACAATTTTTTGCTTTTCGGGATGTGAATTCTCTTATTAAACAGTTCTAAATTTGGCGACTTATCAACATTTTGGTGATTTTAAGACCACTTCCTATAGAAAATTTTTAATTTGGAGATCTGGGAATTTTTCGATGATTTTCTTTTAAAAATTGTAACATTGATACCTTTCATTAAAATAATGATAATATATTGAAATTATATTAAAAATTACATTAAAATAAAATATTTTTATTTTTCGCTGTCATATTATAAAGTTCCATTTTGGCAACTTCTTATACAGGATTTGAACCAGAAAAATAAACAAGGTATAATGCTATAAAGTACAATTTATGAAAAAGTTACAAAACTAGCTATGTAATTAATTAAAAATGTCTTCTTTTTAATATTTTCATAGTAAGAGTTTTTGCCATGTAATTGTCTCAGAATATGCATCAGTTTTTCTCTATAAAATTAATTTTACACTTTTTCCTTCTTCTTCTTTTTTTTTTCTCAAATATTTCTGGCTTTTTGCTGTTACAGAATTGGTAGGGATAATTTTTCTTTAGGATTTTAGACATTGCAGCTTGGAAAGTGTAGAAGAATTTGAAGGCAAGATTTATAGACCCGTGATTCTAGAAGATTCCAGAAATAAGTGACAAAATGAAAAATGTTTCCATGGTATTAACATGTAATGGATGTATTTTACACAAAGTTTGCAATGAATTTCTTACTTTTGGAGAACGTCTGAAAGACTGATACTAGAATCTTTATCTTATCATTTTTATCTTCCCTTTATTTTCTCTTTTTTTCACTAGACACAAGCATGGAAAGACCAGAAGTGCTTATAATCTTATCACATAGACAGGCGTTATAAAAAGGAATTTTTTTATTAATAAAGAAATTGAAAACTTACAATTTGAAAGATTCATCTAATATGTCTTTTGTAGGGGTCTTCAACTTTTCATACCGGAGAGCCACATCAATAAATTAACAAAGATCCACAGACCACATGTCTGTCAAAAAAATAGTGTAATCAGAAAATTTATATCAAAAAGGGAGGTTTATTTTGCAAGACTACAATTGATTCTAAGCAAAGGGATAGTGTTACAGATTTGCATATATACGTACATTGGTTCCAAAAAGTCAAATAAAAATCGAATTAAAATGTTTTGCAACTTTTTTTAACTATTGAAAAAAGTATAAAGATGATTACACAGAACGATGTTACAAAATGCATTTACAATTAAAAAAAAAAAAGAAGAAGAAACTTACATTACTCGCGGGAGATAGTAATTACTTTCGTTTTAATGTGAAATTTAACATTGTTTTTGCTTGATTAAAGCTTCAATATTTGGTTTAATCTGTGTTGTTGCAATTCGTAAAGTTTCCTCCAAATATCTGTTCTTTTCGATTTTAGGATTTTCATTTTACAAAAAATCTGTTCACATATCTAGGTACTGCCAAAGATAGAAGACATGAAGAGTGCATGTTTATGAATTCCTGGATACTTGTCTTTGGTCACGTACTTCGAATAAAAATAAATTAATGTAGGATTTTCAAGAAACTTGCATTTTACTGCAGAATCACACTGTAAACTTATAAATTCTAACTGAAGTTCAGGTGGAACACTTCCAACATCTACTGAAAATGGCAAGGAGAATATTCTGATAAAAATTTCATTTTCATGAAAATCATAAAATCTGCTTTTGAATTCTTCTTTCAAATTTGAAATGCCTTGCACATAATTATTTTATTTTCATGTTGTAGAGTTCTTCACTCATTCCATCAATTTTGGAATTCTTATTTAGCAACTGACTTTCTTAAAAGATTAATTTTGTCTCAAAAGCTTTCACAAGGTAATAAAGATTATGAACAAGTAGATCTTTTCCCAGTAAGCAATAGTTCAAATCATTGAGATGATATGTAATATCAACAAGAAAACGTCAAAAGTCCCTTAACCATTTCTCATCACTGAGCTCGTGAATAGATTTCCCTGTAGAGTCCATGAATTGCTGAACTTCGCTCTTCAAAGAAAACATATTATTGAAGCATCTTTCCTCGGTACAAACAACGTACTTCAGTGTTATACACAACATCACCATATTCAGCTTCCAAATTACTCAAGAACTGCTGAATTTGCCTGTGATTAAGTCCTTTAGACTGAATGAAATTAACCAGTTTTACAACAACATTCATTACATGTTCAAAGTTTGAGAAGGACTTCTTACAAATTTTCTTGGTGGATGATGCAGTGGAAAGTCATCATAGTATTATTTCCACTTGCCTTCATATAAGATTTGAGTAATTTTGTTAGTCCTATTTTCTCTCTCGTCATAGATTTAGCACCATCTGTGGTTATAGCAGATATATTACTGAAGTCTAACTCGCATTTACCCAAAGTTTGTGTCAGACTCGAATACAAATCTGTTCCTCGTGAACGACACTGGCTAATTCCTCTACAATTGTGAAGTCTCTATCAACGCCACGAATAAAAATGGCTACTTGTGCAATATCTGTTGATTCATCCATTGCTACAGAATAAAACTCAAATTTTTTGCATTTGAATTTTAATATGCTGAATATATCTGTTGCGAGATCCTCTATGCGTCTCACCACTGTTACACCAGACAAGCTAACATTTTATACAACTTAAGTCCATGTTGGACAAAGCATATCAACTGCACTCTGAAGACATTCTTTTACAAATTCTCCATCGACAAAGGATTTTCCATGCTTAGCAATTTTTTCTGCTATCATGTAACTAACACGAACACTATTTTCAGATTCTTTATTCGTTGTGGTGAAGAAAGGTTCCTGAAAATTTTGTTTAAATTTTAATTCACTCACTTTATTACTTCGAAAATGACTTTCCAATGCAGAATATGTCACATTTATATGCTTAGTATCATAATGTCTCTTAATGTTATATTCCTTCATCACAGCTACACTGTCGCTGCAAATAAGGCAAACTGCCTTACCCTTATGTACAACAAAGCAAATAAATATCTGACCACTTTTATTAAAAAAATTGCACTTTTCCTTTAACTTTTTTTTTTTTCCATAAATCACAGCTTGCCATTGTGTACTCATTCAAAGACCATAAATGCTTCTGAATTTTAGAATGGGGAATGAGCATGAGTAACCTAGCTTAAAATCAACTGTAGAAAATTTGCTTATCACGCAATCAAACAGGATGTTTACGATCACCGTTCCCTTTGACAATATTAGGAGAAATAAAATTCTGTTAATTTATGCTCCCTTTATAGTAGCAGCATTCTCAAAGTCACCTTTGGCGAAGTATTGACGAAAGATTGATATCTCTTACAAACCTGTTAGAAATAAAAATCTACCCATTTTTATGGAATTGAGATTTTATGCATAGTAATTTTTTTTATTTTTAGTATCACATAAGATGAAGTGAAATTCTTGAAAAATCGTCATTTTCAGAAAATTATATTTCAAATAATATCAAGCATGTCAATAAAATGTTTTAAATATCAAGAAAAAAGGGGGAAAAAAGTTTTTTTTTTACAACAAAAAGCTGACAAGGCAGTTTTTCTTTAAATCAAAATTTCTTAAAATTTTTCAATTTTTCTTCAAATTTAAATCTGGGGCCACTAAAATGCCTTCAGCGGACTATGGGTTGAAGACCCCCTATCTTAATGCATCATACACAGAGTTGGCGCTAGATGCAATCTCTGTTGATCCTAAATTCTGCTGCCTAGTGCCTTTTCTAAATTTTGCTTCCAATGCCGACTCTAAATTCTAAACATTTTGCCATTTATAGATATTGTTGCTTAGTGTGTCACTAAATTCTAAAAATTCTGCCATACCAGCTCTGTAACTGGCCCTCACCATATATATTTCATATATCTTCTGAATGTTCATATTACTAAAGAAATAAAATTAGCAGCTTTTTCTATTCATTCTAAATGCTTTTATTTTTATTTATTTATTTATTTTTAAGAATAACAGAAATCCTTAATTAAATCCAAAATTTCTAAAATAAAAAGGAAACATGTTGAAGAAAGGAACTGAATATATAAAGAAAATTATTCTTCAAAGATATATACATATATATCTTCAAAGATATGTACAGTTATTATTATGTAAATTTCCCAGTTAAGGATTTCAGCCTTTACTATAATTTCCCATTTCTGTTTCCTCATATGATAGGGTTACTGAGCCAGCTTAAATTAAAAT